GCATAAACTCAAAAGAGCTAGAAAAGAATCTAAGATTAGTAAATTAAATCTTGAAACAGAAGGCTGTATCTAATAAAATATACAGCTTTGGTATCTTGTGAGTAAATAAATAAATATTAGATCCAGGCCTGTAGTTGCATGATTTTTATAAATAAAAGATTCCATTTTAATGCTCTTTTCTGGTAATACCTTAATGTGGAGATAAGCATTAAAACTTTACATTCAAAAAGGACTCAAAAAGGGATGTAGATGCCTACAGAACAAAAAGATGTCAACAGAACAAGATTTATACATTTAAAACCTTGAAATTTCACATTATTTGATCTCATTCTGTGGGGTAAGTCATATATCTTAAAAGGGTACCAGTTCTTACTTTAAAGCACTGTGGAGTGCTAGTGTGCAGGCAGACTTTTGACAGACGGATCTCCCTTTGTTCCAATAAAGGAAGTTGCGTTTACAGCCAAAGTGTAAATAAGCATTCATAAATACACTATAGGGCTCAAACTCTCTCTTGCATCTCTTCAAAAAACAAAACCTATATAAATTTTGGAATGGATCTACTGAAAAACTAAAACTCAGTTTTATCTTAACGTAATCTATTTAAAAATGATCAATGAAAATGTGCTACCTTTCTAGAAATCCTAAAGACACAGACCAAAATGTGTACTTTTCCCACCAAAAATAATCCTACAAAACCAGAGTGTTTAAACCAGTCTTTATTTTTCTTGCGCTAAATGGCAGATATCCAGAAAGCTAGCAGCATGAGTTTGCACAGGTTCTATGTGCGTACTAGAACACATTATTGCTTATATATCTCATACCTCAATAGCAATCATATCAAAAAGTCACATAACCAAACAAGGCATGCCAAACTGTGAAGCCAGACTTCCCTTACACATCCACATGTAAATTGTCATAACTTTGTTTCAGAAAAACAAAAGAATGAATGAGCCAGACTGCTCCTACAGGGCTGATTTTTAAGTGAACAATTGCATACCCAGATTTTTTCTGGTTTATTTCACCCATTTCTGTTGATTACAGATGTTCATTCAAAGCTGAAATTGACCTCCTTCACATTACAGTTTACAACAAATGTAAAGAAAATATGCTGTGTAAGGAAGATAGAACAAGTGTTTTATTAATGAATTTTACTAGGAAGCTTTAACAAACTCCATCCTACTTTTTTTTTTTTTTTTTACTGTACTGATAGTACAATGACACAGATAACCTACAAAGTCAGATTTACATGTTCTAGTGATGCCTGATTTGGTATTAGCAGCTATGATCCCATGGCTTCAAGACAGCATTGAAGCAGCATGCAATTCTGCAAGGAAATGAAATCACTGTAGTCAGAGTTCTACACATCGTAGAAAGAAAAATTACAAGTCTTCTCGACTGCAGTGACTTCAGTACACTAGATGTAATTAGGTCTGTATCCACCTTTTAATAAAATTCTGTATTCTACAACTTCAGCTGAGATGATTATGAAGAAACAAAACAAGCCAGAACGCAGCCCAGACAAGTCAGAAATTTGTAAGTTAAATGTTTCAAACATTCCTCCCTAACTACTGAGCAATAACTAGAGGTGGTGTACACAGCAATATATTTTTAAGTCTTAGCAACTTGAATAATTTGGGCAGAAATTTTTTATCTTAACTGTTGTTAACAGATCAAGTACTTCTGCAAAATTTCAATCCTGTTTAAGAATACAGCACAGAGCCACAACCGCTATGTCAGACTTTATTAATAGCCAATATTGTAACCTACAAGATTGCATTTTTTCCCCGTATCTTTTCAACCCAATCTTTAAAGCAATACTGAAGTTGCACAGTCAAGCATTCAAACCAGGAAATGTCTGAATGACCGTGGTCCACAGAAGCTTTATTCAGCCTCTCTGCACAGATCTTCTGACAGAGTCTTTAATTACAGTGTAACACTTGCTTCCACTGGATTCCTGACCATCTGAGACACAGGATGAGTAAGCAGGGTGTGAAACTAATGAGGCCGTTTATAAGAATTTGTTTTCATTTGTTAAGGATTTTAGAAAGATATTAACATAACAGGAAAGGTGTCAAACGAAAAGAAACCATATACGCATCTCACAAAATTGAATAATGGTTTTCAAAATTTTGACAGATTTTTTTCCCTAGTAGCATTCTAGCTGGCTTAAGCACACACCTTTCACAGGTGTTTGCCAACCATAATGTCCCTCATTTTCTAGGTGACTGATCTGAGAAACAGACAAAAATACAAACATGTAAAAAAGCTAGGTACTCATAGCCGCTCTTGACCCTGGCAAGAGGCACATTCTGAAGCATTCAAGTACTCAAAATGCAAAACTATTTGGAACGAGTCACATTAGACATCTCACATTGGTTAAGGCAAATCAATATTCTTGATGTAACCTGGGCTTTAACTCCTTAGCTGTAAATAAGGTATCAAAATACCCCAACAGTATGCTGTGAAGACTCCACTGCTACAGCCCTGAACATCACAGAAAACCCCACAACTCTGTTGCAGAAAACACTTAAAAAGTTGGCACCGAAGAAAGTATATGACTACATATCCAACAGAATTTTTAACCATACCTCATTTAATAAACATCATCAGGCCCATACAAGACAGGAGACAGAAGATATTCAGAAAAATACAGACTCATGGAATAAGAGGCTCCATCAGTGTGTACACAAATATGGAGCTAAATTAAAGACCTAATAAGCAACCCTAAACCTGGCATATCCCAGTTTGAAGTCCTGGTTCCTATGATCTTTATAGTTAAATATGCATATATATAATATATATGTAAATAATTTATTCTGATAATGAAAATTTAATTGTTAAAAATAAAATTAAAGCAGTACAAGAAAATTAGCCACCAAACCAATTTTCAAAATAAGTCATTAACCACTTGATCTGCAAAGATCCTTCCTCTCCTTAGTCGAACAAAAATAATTTTGGTTTTGATACAATCTCTAGAGTAGCATTTTGCACATAACTTACGTATTATACATTTCTAGCAATCAAATACTTCACAGATACTTTGGGCTCCCACATCCCTTCCCTCACTTTTACCTTGTAAACCAGGTACAAAGACTCCAAAAAAGGCCACATTTTAAAACATGAATACTTAGACCTCCAGCATTTACTTCTCTTTGTACTATCATTCAGAAGAACAACAACAACAAAAAAAAAAGCCTTTTTTAGACCAAAATCCAGGGGAAGTTTATTTAAAGAATAATTCACGGATTTCAACAAAAAATACTTTGAGTCAAAGTTAATCCTAGATTAATATCTAGTACCTTTCATTACTTTGAAGTAAATAGGTAAAATATTTTGATTTGCAAAAATAAACTGGTTTGCGGATGCAGAGACGACTTTTTCAAATTTGGACTTCTCTGAAGTAATAAGAAGTCAAATTAGCTTTCTTTTCTCTAGTATATAATCTTTTTGTTCTGTGTCTATCTATGTACTGAGATTACAGGGTGTGCTACTTTATTTTGCTTCTATTTTCAGGTACTTGCAGTTTGGTGCTTGTTCTGGTTCCCAGTGGCTTAGCTGCATAACAATTAAAAGCCAGCTGTACTCAAGAAGAGCTGTATCATGCGTATGTATCTTTGGTACTCTATTTTAACAAATTCTATCTATATAAATATTTGTCAACTCTTATAATCTATTTCGTACACAATACAACGACCTCCTCCACTAGATGGCCCTGACACTCACTATGTTTATCAAAGCTGTTTGAACACTTACACATGTAAGACAATCAAACAAGCAAACAAAAAGTGCACCAGCAACCAGTTATTAAGAAAAGCCTCTGATACTGGCATACTTGCATACTCAGGAAACAGAAAAAAAGTAAAAGATTATGTTGAAATAAATCGATATATATGCACACAACTCCCTCCATACAGTCAGCAAAACTGCTGTATCTTCAGAGCCCAAAATCCAAAAATTTTAGTGGAATGCATGTCCTTCCTGTCCCGGATGTGACCAGGTAATGAACATTTTAAAAACGCAAGTTGGTTATTTTCTTGTGTAATAAAAAAGCTGTACAAGTAAAACGGAATTGTGGTCTAGTGGGCACAAAGCAGTGTCGTTCAAGCACGTGGCCATATTAAAACATGTCCTTTGCCTGAGATAGTTTACCCTGCATATAGCTTCTGATACTCATGGTAGTCAAATCTCTCTTTATGAACCCTCACTATGCCACGTAGACTTTGCCAGACATGCATATGTTACAAGTGATGAAAGATCTCCTAGAATTCATTACATAACTGCACTGCAAATCGTGTGCAAAGCTATCTAGCCGCCCAACCTAAAATATCTTTCAGGTAAAATAACTGACTGTATTTCTCTTAAACTAACATAGATGGAATACATTTAGCTGAGGGCATCCATTTTTTGGAATGAGAATCGAGTATATTATAAAGACTGGAAAATAAAAAGCTATTCCTTGATAAAATGTACTAATTAACAATAAATTAGTAGCACATCTCTGCTGGTAGTCGTGTTTCTCTCGCTGATCACTTATAATTGCTAGCTTTTGGGGTTTTGTTTTTGGGGGCTTTGGTGGTTTTTTTTTCCCCCCACACTGGATCAGTCTGCAGAACCAGTGGAAAGTTCAAATGTCATGTTCTGAGCTACAGCTACTTTATGGGCAGGAATCTTTATCTTACACCTACACATTGTGTAAACTGAATGATCTGCTCTCACAGATTTTTTAAATAATATACACCCTTTAAATAAGGAAACTTTGCAAATGCATATGTTTTCCTTTTGAGGAATCAATTTATCAATGCAAGGCTAGTGAGGAATTAAAACAAGTTTGGGGGGTTTGCACACTGGTGTTTCAGTGATCCTAAACAAAACCTGGAGATAAGAAACGTTAAATGACACATGAGAAGTACTGTTGCAAGTTCAATGCTTTTCCCTTTTCCCTTGAGTATTTAGCACCTCTTCACTCTTTTGATTTTGTTTAAAATAAAAGTAGATAAATATTTTTCCAGTTATCCAGTTTTAATGTTTCTTCTTTGGTCATCCATGTTTATCTTCATCTGTTATATTCAAAATGTTAGTGAAGATCTTTCAGTACCGATTCTAAAATCAGACTGAATATTTAGCATTGAACAAACCTAAAAAAGAATACACGAAAGTGTTTCGAAGCATCTGTCTTCTAAGAAGAATGTTCAACAAAACTCCCAGTTCCTCCATTTCTCTTCTTCTGGTCCCACTTCTAATTCATTGCCAAATAATATTTTCGATTTTCATTTAAAGAATATTTTTCTTTTATTTTTCATTTGCTGTTGGTTGGGAAATTTTCAACTATCAAGTACTTTCACTTAATTCACTTTATTTAAAGTATTTTTATTATGATTGCAAAAGGAGAACAATAATTGCTCTGCACAAATACTGCATTTATGAGCAGGTTTAGAGCCTAAATATTTGCAGAAAGTAATACCATTTTGTGCTAAAAGAACAACTTAATCCTACAAACCTGTTTAAATTTTCCTCTGATTTTTTCCAGATCTTCTTGCAGCTTATCATAAGTGGGGTCTTCATAAGGGAATTTCTGAATCATCCTTATTAACGAATCCAGAGCCCTTATCTTTTTGCTACAAAACAAAAACAAAACCCAGAAAAAAACAATGAGCTTACTACAGAAGCTTTTTTCAGTCTGTCAATATGAAAATTATCCTTCTTTTTCATTCAACTTCTCCCATTTAGTTCACTGAAAGTGTGTATCTGATATATATCTAAACCATAATCAGAAATTAAGCTGTAGCACAACTGATAAAAGTTAAGGTTTCCCTTTTGACTTACCTGCCAAAAGTTGAGAAATATTCAAGAATCTTCAGAACTATTGACTAGATGACTGAGCAAAATAAAGAAATGCAATAAAAAAGGCTCACCAGAACACATATCAAAATGGTTGACGGTATGGTGGCAATTCTGTCAGATAAATTAATCAAAAGTGGACAGAAAAAAACTTCTGGAGAAGATAATGAAAGTCACAGAAAAATGTAGGTTGGAAGGGACAGCTGGAGGTCACGTAGTCCACCTTCTGTGGAAACTGGACTAACTTCAAAGCTAGATAAGGATGCTCAGGGCCATCTCCAACCAGATTTTGAAAATCTACAAAGATGGAGCTTCTAGGACCTCTCTGGACAACTCGTCCCAGCGCTTAGCTGCTTGCACGGGAAAGGGCCTTCTCCTTATGGCACGTTAGAACTTAGCTTGTTTCAAATTGTGAAAGTTGCCTATTGTCCTTTTGCTGTGCCCTTCTGCAAGGAACGTGTCTCCACCTTACCTAGAACTTCCCCTAGCTATCTCCCTTGCTTTCTCTTCCCCAGGCAGAAGAAACCAAGTTCCCTTATCCTCTTTTCGGTATAACAAGGACCAGCATATGATAGTGGCCGTCTGCTCACCTTTCTTTTGTTTTTCACTATTTCTTTTGCACCGGGGAAGAGGCAAAACTGGACACCATAATTTGAAACTGTATTAAAGGAAGAGGAAATTTTTTTTTTTTTAGCTTACCTGTTCTTTTCATCCATGCATTTCTGGAGCAGACATTGCCATGTCAGTGCAAACCCAAGGTAGCAGCCAATCTGCAAATTTATCAGAATGTCATGAGGAAAAAAAATAATACATGTAGCATATATAGTAAAACAAAAATAAAGCACTACATTGTATTCCATTCTTCAGGAAACAAATCACTGGATATACAAATACGTTTCTTCACTGGAAAGTTCAGTAAATTAGGGTAGGATAAATGAGGGCTGTGTTACACAGTACAAGAGTCAGAAAACTTCTTGTAAGAAACTGTTTAGCATGAGAAGACAAAATGTTTAAAATACAGAATAAAAAAAAATATTTGCAAAACACTAGCCATACTTTATGCTTCGAACCCTAAAATTTATAATAAAGTGTGGTAGTATGGAGACAGTTAGAAAATAGCCTATTTAAGATGTTTTGGTAAGTATTCGTTCTTGCAGCACTGTCAGTTTAAGCTGCCCATGTACAGCCCTACAAAAAGGCGTCCCAGCTGGACTGAGGGAGCTACCAAGTCAACCAAAGAGGAAACCACACTTTTTTCTGACTTAATATGCAAACAATTTTACCAGCCTAACTCAAGGTAGAATGGAATCAGAAAGAAGAACGAGGAGCTGACTAAGCTAGCCTTGCTGCCAGAACTTTTCATTACAACTCTGGACACCAAATGAAATAGGAATATAGGTAAGTCCTTCAAGGCACCAACTGTATAAGGCAGCTGGAGTCCCTTTCAGAAGTGACTTAACATTCACAGAAAAACAATGCAGACAGCTGAAATAAAAGTTAGTTGACTCTGAGAAATTCAGTCCAAAATCACAGCCTAATCCCACTTTGGACCATATGTCTGTGTGTGCATACAGCTGCCATTTAAACTTACAAACCACTCTTGGACTGGAAAGCTCCTGTGGCCTGCAAACCACTTCAGAGTGGGAGGGTTTGGTAGTTCGTCTTCTGTTAGTTATGTTTGTTAGAGCACATACTGGAGTTCTTTTTAAGGCCCAAACATGGCTTTCAGACTTAACATCCTATTATGTGCTGAAGCATATTTGAAGTGAGGCTTCCAATTAATTTTTTGTTGACAAAAATTTAATTTGCATGCCCCGAAACTGCTTAGAGATCCAAGGTAAGTGGAAACAACTGACAGATATAGCAGTTACCACTGCTGTAAACGCAAGCTACTGCGTTTGATAAAACACACCTGGCCCCTGGACACTTAGCCACAGATTTCTCAGCTTAATTAGCACTGCCCTACCACAGGGAAGCAGTGCCAATCTTCTGCTTGAAGCCCAAGCAGATACTGTGTCTAAGCCTGCCTGAGGAATGTGCCCGAAAACAGACACACTTTAATTATAATATCTTACTTAAATTCTCTACCAAGCAAGGCAATTATCAGATGAGCATCATAATTTTGCCCAAGACACAAAATAGGCTGACAGGTCCAAGATTACCCAAGTCACTCTTTCTCTCTTTTAACGTGACTGTCTATAATCCTACCATCCTCTGAAGCTTCCTGAATGTAAGTACATTAGAGCAATTCTCCCTTACCATCTGTCAAGGACCATTTTATATAAATCTATTCTGCTTTGGAGACTGCTGTTTAACATTCTCACATTGGAATTACATACTTGTAGTGTAAGTAGGAAAATATTCCATCATTGTACATCTCTGTATCACACCCAAATGCAACCCAAAATTTTACAATAACCATCCTTTCAGAATTTGACAGTTCACCTTTTCCACTTCAAAATGGATTAAAGCCATTGCTACCGTTCTTTCTGTAGTAATTAACTTTCTGAAACCTGAAAATACCAAAAAGGCAAATTGCCAAATTACCCAAAGGTCTTCAATACATTGAAAAGATTTAGATATGTGGTGCTGTACTTTGAAGTAAGGCCTGCCACAAATCCTGTGGTACAGTTTCCCATCAAAGCTGAAAAAATCTAGTTCATGTCCAAAAATACTGCAATTACATTGTACAGCACTGAACACACTCCATGTTAACAGAAACTTGAGCTGGACACACAAGACAAGTCAAGGTGCCTCACCACCACCCTCTAGTCCTTTGATTTCCAGAAAAGCTTATTGAGTCAGGCATGCCATTGTGTGGCAATATAGAGAACTGACTCCCTCTACTAAAAAATAATTGTGCCTCAATCAACAAACTGTCCCAGCATTAGAAACAAAAAAGAGTGCAACAGGGACACACAGAATCGTTCCTTTACGGTTCTCCAACCAAGGGGTCTCAAGATTCCACATTTTCCCCTAATGCTAAGACACAGGAAATGGTACAAGGGAACCTTTAACCACAATTCTGGATTATAAAAATAAATGTACAGTCCATCCCCAAGCTTTCTGAGCAAGCTTGTTCGATTTTGTCTCTTCTTATCCTCCCTTTCAGGCAAAATTAACCAAAATTTCACAGAGCAAATAACCTCAGAAAACATCAAACCCTCTATTTAACTGTTCAAATGAAAATAACACCTTTAAACTAGTTCTGTGGGTCCTCTTGGACACATACAAACCAGTGTAACATAGCAGGCTTCAGACCACCAATATATAAGGCTCTGCCCAACAGTTTCTGTATTACAACAATTTTCTGATGACAGAAAACATTGCTATTCTGAAGTATTTTCCCATTTACCTCAGACCCGATCTTGGCACCATGGAGCGATCCATACCTCCTTCCCTCGACAACTCCAACATGACTGCCTTCAGCATACCCCTCCTGATACCCCTCACCATGAAACCTGCGAAGACAGAAGTATAATCTTTATCATCTATTCTCATTTCATATCAAACTCACACTATACACAAGCAACTCGCAGAAATAAAAACATGCTGCATCATCTCTGAAATGCAACTATCCATATTTAGAAATACCACACACCGATTTAAATGAAGATGCAGTTATGCACACTATGTTTTCAAACAAGTTTATAATAACTCGCCAAGAACAACATACTCGGCGATCCAGCTCAGTACTTTCACTAGCATAACACTGCTAACTACAAGCTCACAACTCTGGGTCGAGTTTCCACAAATGGTGGAAAAGCCGAGATCGAGCAGCTCGGTCGCTCAGCAAGAGCATAGAGGAGCACTTCCCCCGCCCTTCTCCATCTTCGCCCCTTCCCCGGGCTCATTACTCGCCCTTCGCCCCTCACTTTTTCCTTCTCAGCTCCTACTGCCGACTGTGGAGGCCCGAGGCCCAGGCCCAGGCCCAGGCCCAGGCCCGGAGCTTCCCCTCCCTCCCCCTAGGCCGACCCGTTACC